TTGAGACACGCAAAGCCAGCCAACCACATCTTTCAAACTGCTGCTCATGCTGCCTCACAGGCAGCATATTACACTCAGAGGAAAGCGCTATCTACCTTCTTCTGCATACATGAGCTCACAGATGCCCACAGTTGGCCAGTGTTGCTGTGGTTGACAGAGGAGAGAGAGCATGCCATCCCTCTCACCCAGAGAGCACAGCCATGGACAGCCACGGATGGCTGATTCGAACTTGTGATTTCCCAACCATAGGCGAACACTTTTCTGTTTCCAAACACACTGAATGCTATATATTTTTATATATTAATTCTGACAGTTTTCATAAAGGGTGCCAGTAATTCTGGAGTTGCCTGTAATTCCATACTTAATGCTCCATTAATGGAGTTGTCCTCAGAAGGCAGTAACAGTAACATTCCAATGTTTTCTATCAGATTAACCCAACACTACAACTATGTCTTGGCTACTTCACTTCCTGACTCAAAAGTACATACCCTTTAGGTCACCATGGTGGCCAATAGCTACACAAGAGAAGGAGTTTGGTATAACCTGAACACTTCAGCAAGCATAATGTAATACTCTATTCCTTGCTAACAGTCTAGCTTAGCTATTTTATAGAAAAGAAAGAACTATAAACAGCAAATCGAATACTATTTTTTAAAGTATTAAGCATTTTACTACACAAACTTACACCACAATGTTTTTTCACTGTTAGATTGCAATATCTACTGGGTAAGATCTACTCCTGAAGTTATATTGACTAAATCCCTCTCAGGCCTCTGTGGGCTCATACAGAAATCTTTATTTGAGATTATTAAGTATAAAAATGGCCCTACATGTCGACTGGGATCCCCCAAGCGATAATGAGGGGAAGCTGATGAAGGAGTGCTAACAGTAATGGTATTAGTCTCAGGGTGATAGCAAGCCTGACTTGGCAATCCCTGACTGTGGCTTTAAAAAAACATGTTTGTTAAGGCAAAGCACTCACAGGTATGCAGGCACTCTGTCACGGTGGTGGGCTTGATCAGGTAGCCCTTACATACATAACAAGTGATGAAGTGGTTGAACTCCTTGACTAAGTGCTTCCTCTGAGTGGCCATTTTCACCTCTTGCTGTTGGGCAGGTGGAGGGATTTTGGAGATTATGTGTGGGGTGTGGAAGATCTATGGAGTGAACAGCTGAGGGTAGAGCTCAATGCACGGCTCTGCCGCAGAGCGCCTTGCCCTTACGTCCTGGCATGTTTGGCCTCATGCTATCATGTGTGCTGCCTTTTTGTCATCATGCTCCTTTGATATCTTTAAGATACCTGGAAAAAAAGAAAGAGATGCATATGTACACATGGTAACAGTTTTTTTTAGATTTGCATTGACAGCATTTGGGAGACGGCCCTTATCCAGAGCAACTTATAGTCCTTGCTGAAAACATATCCTCATGCTAGTACAAATACACCAAGGGCTAAGAATACCATTAAGCTCAAACCCTGTTAGAGATGCGCTAGTACAGGTATGAAATCCCAATACCTGTACGTTATTAAATTGTAGCTACATTTATTACCCATTTTGTCAGGCACAGCTGACATTCCTTTGTAGGTATACAGTTACTGACTGTGCTTTGTCAGCTGAGGTTTTTAAGCACTGGGTACTTTATTAGACACACATACCTTGTTAGTCCACCTTGTAGGGTACGGTTAGAGGCTAATGCTCATATTATTCCTTGCAATGTGTGAATCAATTGTCCTCTAAACCAGGAGTTGCAAGCATTTTAGTCCCCTTTAACTGTAAAAAAAAAAAAAAAAAAACAAGCAAAATTCACAGACCCATTAGTACAGATTTATTTTACAAACAAACTATTTAAAGAAAATAGACATATAATTTAAATGTATGCTTTAGTATATTGCCTATTTATTAGATTATTAGAGAGTTTTTTTATTTCTGAATTTCTACCCACAGAACCCATTTTTATTAAAACTGTCATTAGAATCCAGTTCACATTATTTATAGTCATAAGAACTTTCATAATGGTTGGTTGTGATTTCCACCACTGTGACACAATCAGAAAACTGTGGAGCTGCTATCTATGCTTCACAGACCCTAGAGAACCTTGGCTCTAAACATACATCCATGGTAATTTTCTGACCACAGCACTGCTGCTGACTGGTGACACAGGTGGTTAAATCCCAGCAACACTGCTGGGCCTGATACACTCGTACCAGCAGACCACACTACCTTGTCAGTGTCACTGCTTTGCTGAGAATGCTCCACCACCCAAACAATATCTGGTCAGCGGTGGTCCTACAGTGGTCCCTTTCTACTGATGACAGAGGGGGTTGACAAATTGTGCAACAAATCAGAAAATAAATGAGCTACAGTCAGTAACTGTATAGCTACAAAGTGCATCTATAGCCCTATCTTGATGGGATTCAATTTACATGGGGTCCTGGGGTAATTTCCTATTTTAATGTGCTACTCTATGATTATATTTCCATCCAGATCACCGTGTTGATATTTTCCTCCGTCCTCCTTTGAGAAAATTACAGGCCAAATTATCTCATGTTATTTGCCAAACTCAGCATTCATCTGATAATTTTAAGCCTCGTCTGGATACACGTCTGTGAGTTTTATGCAGATGTCACCTTGTGTTGAAAAAAAGAGATGTTTTACAGCTGCTACTTGCTGTATTTATTCTCATAGCACGTATCAGTAACGCTCCCGCGGATATTAAGCACTTCCCTAATCCTGAAACAAAAAATGAATGCTTTAGAAGAGTCACTCGACCATATGCTTGGTCTGGGAGGTAAAACCGCACTGGGAGTACACCCACTACATTACTTTATATTCACATATGTACAAGATCATCAACTTTTAGATTTCTACGAATAATGATTAGTTGTGCCACTGCCAGTTCCTTAAATATCTAATGTTAAATGCTGATGAATTAATACTGTAAATGATTTAATTGTTTCAAAACTGGTAATCATTTGCAGGTTTTAATTTAACAGCATTTAACATTAGATATTTGAGGAACTCACAACGTGATGCAAACATCCGGGTTCATAGAAAATACAACCTACTAGAAACTCGCACCTCCTGGGGTAATTTTATTTATTATTTGTTTATATCACTGAAGAGACGTGTAAAAAATCTATTACAGATTTCCCCCTGATAAACTAATCCATGCTGAACAGGGCTTTTGTTAGATAGAACTGATAGTGGAGTGGCTAAAAAAAAAATTAATAAAATTTTTTTTTTTATTAAAAAATTTAAAAACCTAGTTGGCATTGAACTTTATTTATTTATTTATTTATTTATTTATTTATTTATTGTTGATAATAATAATAATAATAATAATAATTATTATTATTATTATTATTATTATTATTGTTGTTGTTGATAAGAATAATGTGATTTTAATATTTATATTTTATAATTTTATGCATAATTATAACTGCTGTAATTTACAAACTAGCTTCAGGCAGGGAGCTTAATTGCCATGCGCACAGGTGCCTGGAGCGTCAAGCCCCGCCCCCCGGTACAAAGCGAAAGCGATATGGCTTCTTCTCAACCCACAGAGCCTTTAGCGGGAAGATCACAAACAGCACACACTAGCGTGCTACATAGTACACAGAAATAGTGCGCTGAAACAGTACACACCACAGGTGCCTCCACAAGCCGCGTACTATTTTAACATACTATTTAGTACAGTAGTACGCTGGGGTTATTTTACGTAGCCTACGACACTTTACAAACCGTCGACATATTCTGCACATCTAAAAGCCTGTTTTGAGAAAAGGCAGGGGCGTGAACAAGTGCTTAGCTTTCCTGTAAACTTCCAGGAAGACTGTGTAAGAGTAGTGGTTAGTTACATGGAGCTGAAGCCGGAGTGGCGTTTTTACAGTTTGACAGCAGCGTCGTCTCGCAGTGTGTTTGTAATCTCGGCCTGTCATCTGAGCATGACGCCCCGAAGTTAAGGCTCTGTGCCATCAGGACAAGGCTGAAAGTTTATCAAGCCCAGTCCAACTCACTGCAAATCAGGCTGCTGGCATTTCAGTCATGTATCAAAGTGATCAAAGCGGATAGATACATCTCATCACATCTCATCACCTCTCATCACCTCTCATCTCATCATATCTCATCACATCTCATCACATGGCTGGACTCTAAGCTGTTAGTGTCTAATAGCAGCAACAGCAACATCTGTTTATTTTAGTTTCCTTTCTCTGGAACAGCGTCATTCTGTATCACCTCTGTCCAAAATAACAGCGTTAAAGCGTATAACATCGTCGTTTCAGTTCGCTAGCGTGTGTGTGTGTGTGTGTGTGTGTGTGTGTGTATATGTGTGTGTGAGGTAGAATGAAAGCCTGACTAGTTAAAGAACTGTCCGTGAAGCTGTCACCTCACACCGGGAGCTACACATGCCCAGGAAACTCTACACACAGCCTGCTGTATGACACCCGATCGCCATCCCAACTGAAACTTTACTACACCAGGCAGCTTGTAAGAGGAAAACGATAGGCGATCGGCATGGCTCCTGACTTTAATAAGCCCTGTCTCTTACCTTGTCAAATCACGAGTCCTGCTTCATGGTGCTGCGCAGTAATTTAGCGAGCTTGGGCTGTAAATGTGACATGCGGAAAAGTCGGCGGGGAGAAGGCGGAACTGCTCAGCGTGTGTGTGTGTGTGTGTGCGCGGACGCGGATGATGATGATGATGATGGGGATGATGAAGGGCGGGGCGGAAGACTCGTGTTTACGCCGAGCTGCTTCAGCGCTGAGGCTCTGATTGGAGCCAAAGTGGGGCGCAGCTGCTGTCGTAACGGCGGGCTATACGAGGCAAAAATCCGCTAAACCTTTTTGCCAGTACACATTTAAAAAAAAAGCCAGAGCCTGAATATGTCGATTCATGATAATGTACAGATTTCTTTTTGTTAATCTCTCCCGCTTTTCTTTTTTGCCTGACGATTTACACTACACGCAAAACAAATAATAAAACACAGAAGCCGGGTGGGGGGCCGCGATGGTGTAGTGGTTAGCGCGCTCGCCTCTCACCCTCAGGAGAAGGGTTCGAATCCCGCCTCTGCCCTGTATGCATGGCGTTTGTATGTTCTCTCCGTGCTTCAGGGGTTTTCTCCAGGCGCTGTAAACTGACTGGCATTTCCAAATTATCGTGTGTGTGTGTGTGTGCATGCACATGCCCTGGGATGGACTGACACCTTGTCCAGGTTCCCAAGCTTTCCAAGACTGTAGGATAAGCAGTACTGAGAATGGAAGGAAAACATAAAATCTGCACAGGAGTAGACAGCTGAATTTAAGGCAACACTGCAAAAAATACTAGATTTCACAATTCATCTTAGCCACTGGATTGCTGAGACTTTTTATTTTTAATATATTGGAAATTTCTGAAAGAAATTTGCATCTATTCATGCAAATGAGGCTTCTTGTAATTAAATATGCATACATTTGCATACTTTATAAAACCAAAAAGTCTTTGGATGATGTTAGAATCACAAAAGTTTATTTCACTGTGAAATCGCTCTCAAGAGAAAGACTTACAAAACAGTTTACTGGAAAATCATAACTTTAGGAAAAAAAATAGCTGTTTTATGCCATTTTCAGTATAAAATCTGTCAGAAATCCAACAACATTTTGAGAAATGTCTCTGTAATAAGCTTTTAAACAGTCTGAATGCATATATAAACTTTTTTGAATGTAGCTCATCTACAAAATGAGATTTTTGGTACAGAACAAAGACAACTCTGATTTTGAGAAAGGTTTTAGTGTAAAAATACATATGATTTCATGTATTTCCACAGTAGTAAGTGTGGTTTATACAGTTTATGAAAGAAAATGGCATGAATGTCACAATGACACGGGGATATGACATGATGTGATTGTGGCAACTGGACAGAGCTTAAAGCCTTCTACAAAGTTGCTAACTTTCAGATAATGTGTTGGATAAAAACAGTTAATTTAACAGTTTTGAGAAGAGAAGACATGTTGTAGATGCATTTTATCCAAAACTGTAAAAAATGACTGGCATGTCTTCTGTTAAAGGTACTTATACACTCACTGAGCACTTTATTAGGAACACTACACTAATGCTGGGTAGGGCCTCCCTTTGCTCTCAATACAGCCTCAATTCTTCATGGCATGGATTCCACAAGATGTTGGAAACATTCCTTTGAGATTCTGGTCCATGTTGACATGATTGCCACACACAATTCCTGCAGATTTTTCAGGTGCACTTTCATGCTGTGAATCTCCCGTTCTACCACGTCCCAAAGGTGTTCTACTGGATTCAGATCCGGTGACTGGGAAGGCCACTGAAGAACACTGAACTCATTGTCATGTTCATGAAACCAGTTTGAGATGACTTTTACTTTGTGACATGGTGCATTATCGTGCAGGAAGTAGCCATTAGAAGATGGTAAATTGTGGCCATGAAGGGATGCACATAGACAGCAACAATACTCAAATAGACTGTGGCCTTCAAGCAATGACTGATTGGTATTAACAGGCCCAAAGTGTGCCAAGAAAACAATACCCACACCATTACACTACCTCCACCAGCCTGGACTGTTGACCCAAGGCAGGTTGGGTCCATGGATTCATGCTGTTGGTGCCAAATTCTGACCCTACCATCTGTGTGCTTCAGCAGAAATCAAGATTCGTCAGACCATGCTACGTTTTTCCAGTATTCGACTGTCCAGTTTTGGTGAGCCTGTGCCCACTGCAGCCTGAGCTTTCTGTTCTTGGCTGACAGAAGTGAAACCCAACATGTTCTTCCACTAGCGTTGCTCATCCGCCTCAAGGTTTGATGTGCTGTGCATTCTGAGATGCTTTTCTGCTCATCACTATTGTACAGAGTGGTTGTCTGAGTTACTGTCAGCTCAAACCAGTCTGGCCATTCTACGTTGACCTCTCTCATCAACAAGACGTTTCCATCTGCAGAACTGTGACTCACTGGATGTTTTTTCTTTATTGCACATTTCTGAGTAAACTCTAGAGACTGCTGTGTGTGAAAAACACAGGAGATCAGCAGTTATAGAAATACGCAAACTAGCCTGTCTGGCACCAACAGTCATGGCACCGTCAAAATCACTGAGATCACATTTTTTCCCCATTCTGATGGTTGACGTGAACATTACGCAATGCTGCTGGCCCATATCTGCATGATATTATGCATTGCACTGGCTGATTAGATAATTGCAGGAATAAGTAGGTGTACAGATGTTCCTAATAAAGTGTTTTGTGAGTGTAGCTCTCTATAAGTCTATTCCAGGAGAAGGGGAGACACCCAGAAAGGGACATTTGACCATTACAGGGCACACACATTCACACCTATAGGCAATTTAGCCTAGTGGGAGGACACTGGAGAACCTGGATGAAACCTAGTCAGTGTGAAACTCTGCACAGACAGTAACCCAAGCTTTGGATCTAATCAGGAACCCTGTTGTTGTGAGGCTGCAACACTACCTACTGCATTTAGGTGCAAAAATTGTGATTTAGAATAATTTTTTTTTAAAGGTCACAATTAATCTCTGTGGCATATATTGAAAAATGGAAGTGTTGCAGGACAATAGGTACTTTTTCTTCTTTGAACCAAATATTTATTATGATGATAAGAAGTATTCTGTATTCAGTTCTATATTTTTTTATTTTATTTTATAAAACAGTGAGATTTAATCCCATGACTACCACTGTTAAAAATCCTGCCTTGACTTTATAAAGTGATTGTATACTGCCTCACTTGTAAATCTGCCAAATAAAAAAACATACATTTCTAATTATAGGTCTATATCTTTTCATAGTCTTCTTATCACGGCTTTAAAATAATTATTCAAGTTCTCTTACACATCTGCTACAGATGCAGTAGATGGAGATCTGGTTGAAAAAAAATATGTTGAACTATTCCTTTAAGAGCTTTAAAACCTTTATTACATGCTACATCTTCATATCATTCATATCATGTATAAGCCAAATATATTGGGATTATAAGCATAAAGGCTTATATGCATATTACAGTAACAGTGAAAATACAAATTATTAGGCTTCATTTACATTTCCTTTTATGGTATTTGGCAGATGCTCTTATCCAGAGAGACTTACAAAAGTGTGATCAAGTCTCTATCAATAAATACACCCTCATACTAGTTCACTAGGCCAGGAACTAAGAGTATTTTCAGTGTAAAAACCCAGTTGGGGAGGTAGCATAGCATGAAAAACACACAAGATATGTATTTGTTTTTTTTTTACCCAAGTTCTAATTTCTGTATTTCATTCAGAGATAGGTCTTTAGTCATCGTTTGAAGACAGGCAGTGACTCAGCTGTTCGGACATCTAAGGGAAGTTCATTCCACCACCTAGGCACTAGAACAGAGAAGAGCCTTGATGCATGCCTTCCTAGTACGCTGAGAGATGGAGGGTCAAACCAAGCAGTGCTAGAAGACCGGAGTGAGCATGGTGCAGTAAGGGGTTTTAATGTAGGTGGGTGCTGGTCCATTTTTGGCTTTGTAGGCAAGTGTCAGTTTTTTTTTAATCTGATGTGGGCAGTTACAGTAAGCCAGTGGAAGGTGTGTGTGAAAACTTGGGAAGGTTGAAAACAAATCAGGCAACTGCATTCTGGATCAGTTGCAGGTTGAATGGTGTGCAGAGGAAGACCTGCAGTAGTCCAGTCTCAAAATATCACACATACTGTTCATACACTGAGAACATGCATACTATTTGTCTTACAAAGGGGAGCCTGGGGCCTATCCCAGGGAACACAGAGCACAAGGCAGGGGACACCCAGGACAGGGTACCAACCCATCACATGGCACAATCACACACACAATTTGGAAATAGCCTACAACACATGTCCTTAGACTGAGGGAGGAAACCAGAATACCCAGAGGAAGCAAGCTCCATGTGCACAGGGTAGAGGTGAGATTTGAACCCCCATCCCCAGAGATAGAGAAACATGCTAACCACTATGCCACCATACCACAATTGGCTGGTTTGAGCATGAATTTTGTGGTATGAAATCATGTATTATGAATTAAATTGCATTTAGCCACAGATCACACATATATATATATATATATATATATATATATATATATATATATATATATATATATATATATATATATATATATATATATATATATATATATATATATTATATATGTGTGTGTATATATTATATATATATATATATATATATATATATATATATATATATATATATATATATATATATATATATATATATATATATATATATATATATATA